ATAAAAACATGAAAATGAGAAGAATATAACTTAATGCGTATTTTTGTAACTTTTTTCATACATAATTATTTAAAACTTTGAAATATTTTTAAATAATCATTCATAAATTATAACTAATTAAAAAAATTACCTTACAATTTAAATTTAAAAGTTTTCGTTAAACAGCTTGGTATAAAGTACAAACTATACAAATAAACAATTTAAACTAGCACTTCTGTAGAGCGACTTGATTGAAATGAAGCACTTTGTTCACATTTCGTTTTTATATGATTTTGTACACATGTTGTATGATCGATATTATTATATATCAACTATGTTATATATTGTTTAATGATCTGATAAAGTCATTTAAATACAATGAGGAGCGCTTTGACTCCTAAATAAAACATTAGAGTGAGAATCGACGTCATCAACGGAATCAAATCATGTTCAGCGGAGACAATATGTTGTGTAAATAGTAATGACTCCTTATTTTCACCAACGCTCTATGACGGTGCCATAACAAAGAATAGAAACTTAAAAAGTAGTTTAAATATTAAAAAACATAAATGACAAAGGTAAACATTTGGGCATGACGTTAAATAACCATTTAAAAGGACAACTGATTAGTAATTATTGTATGCCTGGCATCCTTTAGTCATATAATGAATAAAGTTTTAACTAGTAAGTTTTGTCCTAATAGCACATTAATAATGATTGTTGGGAGAAGAGGCAATTTAAACAAAAATCAATTACTAAAATATATTGATTACCTCAATACTTTAAATGTACATAAAATTTTCTTGTTTACATTGCCTTACAAACTGGCCACAGGAGAATAAAAGAAAAAGATATGATTTAAATGTATTAATAAATAATTTGTCATATTAAAATAATATAAATTAGACATTTAATTTAATTTAACAATTATACTAATAGAATTAATTTATTAGACATTAATAATTTAATTAAGAAAATTTTGACTACACATAGGTATTACCTATCCAAATATAATTTAAGACAGATAGCAAATGTGCTATCTTATTATTTATACATTAACTCAGCCAAGGATTTGGCTACCCAGACATCTTCTTTTATTGATCAGGATAATGATTTAACATGCAATTTAAAATCAGTTCCAAGTAATTTAAATTAGAAAATGAGATAATAGAGGTAATCTCTAGCAGTTATAAAAATTTAAATAATTTAGGATGTAGCTTACAAATCCTTAATTGTTGCAATTGTATGACTCCACAAAATTATAAAAAAAATTGTTTACACCTGGTACATCAGAATACACAAGGCATGATAGGCAAAGAGCTAGAAATTGAATTGTTCGTAAATAGCAACAATATTCATATTTTATGTATTACTGAACATTGGTTAAAAGCTCATAATTTAATGTTTAACTTCAATAATCACCAGGTGGTCATTTCTTTCAATAGAGAAACGGTGCCTCCTTAATTTTAGCTAGAAAATTATTATCATGTAAAGAAGACAAAGATATTGTGAACCTCTCTTTGGAGAGAACTGTAGAAATGGTATGTGTTGAGTTTGAGCACCTCATTGTTGTGAGCGTTTACAGACCCGCATGTTCTTTATATGACACTTTTGAAAAAATTATGGAGGAAGTTTTCACTAAGCTAAATAACAGAATAAATCTGTTGTAATATATGGAGACTAATATCAATCTCCTAGAAGCTTCCTCCACCAATATTAAATTTAGATCATTGTTTAAATCTTACGGTCTTTTTAATTTATTTTTGGAGCCAACGCGTATTGCTGAATCTAGTGCGATATGTATAGATAACATTTTTACAAATGTTAAGCCGTTCAATAAAAATGAATTATTCAAAAATTGAGCTCAATTTTTGATTAGATACATTACCTTATGTCACAAAAATCAAGTAGATAAAAAAGGAGTGTTTGTTCCAGTAAATGCACGTCGCTTGTATAAGTTTAGAAGTAACATAGTAAAAAAACATCGATTACTTTCATACCAAAATAATCCATATTTTTTGTATGGAACATTATTCAAGCTTATTTGCAATTAATTTAATAATACATTTACTTCTAAAACATTCTCCTTGAACAATCGCAAGGCATTTAATGAATGGGCGACAGTATGAGTAGTAGACAAAGGTTATATGAACTTTACAATGAAAGGTTATATAATCCTAGCGTCTAATTTTGGAAATATGTAAAAAAAATATTCCAAAATATTTATAAGAGTGTGCTCCATAGCCAAGTCATTGTATTTGAGCAACAAAATAAAGACTGCTACTAATAAAATTAAAATGACATGGAGTATAACTAATAGTGAAACTGGTAAGGTCAACTCACGCAATTCAAACTACCAGTTAAGTTTTAACAATAAATTAACTAAATCAGATCAGGACGTTGCAACGGTTTTTGAGAAATATTTTACTGATATTCTGATCTTAACCACTAAGTCACTGAATTCTTCTCCCGCCAGCTACCCGCATGAGGTCGACACATATGCTTCACCAACCAATACAACGGCAGATATAGCCAAAAGGCTGTTATAAGATGTTAGTAATAATTTGTCATCATAAAGGTTTTGTGTCACTGACGTTAGTAAATGCATTTTCGATCATGTGTGTCCGACCCACCAACAAGTTGCCTTCAATCATTGAAAGGTGGGAAAGTTACAAAGATATATTATTATGTTGTTATACAAAACATCGTAGAGGGCAGACAGTCTGCAGCCCCGTAATGAAGGGACCCGACTTGGTTAAAGCTATTTAGGTGTGAGTCAAACCAAGACGCAGAGAGCGCCATTGAAAATAACGTCCCACCAAACAACCATCGCATAGACGCAATGCTGCAGAACGCAACAAGCATCAATACGACTATCGTCGGGCTTACACTATCCCAAGGTCCCACATACATCCCAGCAGACATCACCACCCGCATACGTCCATCGATCGGAACCACAAGAGTGCGTCGAATCAGGCGCAGCACACCCGCAGATCCATCACAAAACGCAATACCGCAAGAAGCAGTAGGCATCAATGCAACTATCACACGCATGGCGCCCCCTCACAACACACCCACATGATCTCTATAGACTTTGGTAACAATGTTTGTATTGTTGTTAACTAAAAAATATAACCAACGTTACTAAGACGCCAGTGAACAAAACTCCACGTATCATAGCGCTAATGCACTATGACATGAAGTTGAGTATGCCTGTTACACTTAAAAGTGCTACCAAACGCACTCATCCCAATCCGAAAGACAGACGACGCATCGCTATGCGCTATGACGCCGCCCACAAACGGTATGGGTGTGCGATGTCCACGGGAAAGCCGTATTGCTACAACAAACCCGCGTACCACTGGCACTAAGATGATATGTCTAGGACACATCGGTAAGCGAGTCCAAGTTTACCTCGGACCAATTGCTCGTGAATCAGTATACACGCCACCATAATATTCCTTTTCAAGTCCCTAATAAGTACTAGTCATTTTGCTACATTACTAAGAGCAGTCGGTTACCCGACCATCCCATATAATGCTTATGCATCAAGGAGACCTTCTATAAATATTGCTTTTGTATCATAGACCTAACTTTCATAAGTCATTAATATATAGGACTTCAACCCACGATTCTACTATTGTATGCTATTTCATCATAGAGACCTTCTTTAGTAATGCTTTTGTATCATAGACCTTACTTTCATAAGTCATTCATATATAGGATTTGAACCCACGACTCTACTATTGTAATTCAAATTCACCATAGAGTCCTATAGTATTGCTTTTGTATCATAGACCTAACTTTCATAAGTCATTAATATATAAGACTTGAACCTACGACCCTTCTAATGTAATGTAAATTCATCATAGAGACCTTCTATAGTAGCTTTTGTATCACAGACCTAACTTTCATAAGTCATTAATATGTAGGTCTTCAACCCACGACCCTACTATTGTAATACAAATTCATCATAGAGACCTTCTTTTGTTTCTGATGTTTTCCATAGTCACCTCTTACTACACACCTGGGACGTAATAAGGTGATGGTATTATTTACGCTGCTACTAAAAGGCATGCGAATTTTCATTATCTCTTATGATTGTAGTTTGTAATGAAAGAAACCTTATCTTTTTATAGATTAGCGTAATTATTAACCTCTTTCTTCGCTTCTTTCATATTTTCTTTGTGCGAATCTAAGTTACTTTGTTTTATTTTAAATTTACTATGGAACGGATAAGGCACTCCGGTGTTTAAGTCATCAGTGCTCTTATTAGGTGTTTGAATTTCTTGATTAAAGTTTTTATATTAATGGTTCTTTTTCATTATTACCATAATAATTATATGTGTATATAGGTGATTTAACTTTTCAGCTTTTAGCCGTAACATATACCAGATACTATATATGAATTCTGCAGACCGTCGTCTACAGCATTTGATTATAGCCATTGCTAATTATTAACTGGGGAGAAGGGGGTTACATTATTTAAAGATAATCGATATAATGTCCACTTTTATTTGCTTTACTTCCGAATAACATTACGTATACAATTTGATATTCATAGCGCTAAACTTGTGATAAAAATATTTTACAATCTAGATAAATTTATTAGTCTTCTATGCACTTGATCGGTTCTTATAATTAAACTATAGATCATTAGTACATTTACACATACTATTATATATGATAATACTATCAAAGATTGAACAATGTTATAGTTTATAATACAAAAAAATATAATAGAGCTTCAAACCAAGTAAATTCTTAATTCAATAAAAAAATTCTATGTACCTGGTTCCAAGGTTCCTTTTTGGAAGGACCACGCTCTCATAGTATGGCGAGTAAACCGAAGACCCTTTTTACTGGAAACGAGGCATTTCATTTTATTCCTCAGGGTGACAACACATTTGCATTTAGATTCTTAATCGAGGATTGATGTAGATGGACCACAGCATTTACTTAACATGAGGTGGACTATGTGCTCGTTTTTCACCCACAATCTATTAAAAAATCTATATGCATTATGATGATCTAATTTTGAGTAAGAATTTTCGGATACCCTTACAATATATTGGTATATACTCGTTCCATTTAATATGCGTTGGATCAAAAGGAAACTCGATGCGATCTGAAACTGACAGTGAAGCAAAGAGATCCCGAGTGCGATGACACTTCATTTGCCAGGAATGGGAAGTAAAGTACTGTAGAACACTACGTATACGTGTTATTCTTGCCTGCATCTTCATGAACCTGTTGATAAAATCAAATTATTTAAATCATATAAACTTACACTTCGGGGAATTATTTTTTGTAAATAAATTCGTTTATGTTGTATATGAAGGGCACAGGATAAAAAGGAGCTCATTAACATTCTCGTTGTTTCGAGTAATCAAAGGATTAAACCTAAAATTTCAATTTCTACACTTACACCTCTAGTGGAATTTTATTTGTACATTATATAAAAAAGGAACAGAGTATATTTAACGTAATAGGTTATTATTTTAAGACATTGGGTTGGTAAAATAATAATTGTTTGACCTTTAATTGCCTAACTCCCGATTGCAACTGGCAAGAAGGTGCTCAATATCTCAATGATCTCCTTTTTACATTTTACAACTAAAATGGTGATCATAAACAATGTCTAATATACCTATCTATAATATATTTTTTCTGTTTACACACTAATGAAATAAAACACATTAACTGGCATGAAATTTTATTTGTGGGATAAATTCGTGTAATATATAATACTTTCAGGGGAACAAAACTTTTTTAAGTCCTGAAGATCACTATATTTTTCAGCAGAAATTGGCAATTTATCTGTATACAATCTTCCAGGCAAAATGAATTAATTGTGTTGTACAGTGTTTATCTTACTGGTTTTCTTTTTTCTTGCACTGATGCAAGCAGACTCCTACGGCCGATTATAAGTAGAGCGGAAGCCTATTTTGGTACTCAACTTGTCAATTTTGAAAACTTTTATAGGGCGCGAAGGGAAACATGACTTTTTAGCATAAATTGTGTCCAAATGGCTAGTCCATGATCTGAAATAAGGTGTCCACCTCTTGACTTCAAATGGACTCGGCTTACAGCAGGCATTTTGGAAAATTTCGGTCCAATTCGATAGACGTTCTGCTCTGGCCTTAGATCTCACCAAACCCATATTTTTATCGCACTCTCACTGGAAACGTCATTGTAATTCTTTCCAACTTTTTCTCTTTATGTACTAAGTGATGCAAGAAAGGGAACATAGTAAAATTTTTATTTTGTCCACCGCAAGAGTCACAAAATATTTGAAGGTGAGTTGTAGTAGGCTTCATGTAGTTATAGACGAAGTGATGGACAAGTGAGCATTACATCATTGCTTTCTTTTTTCCTTCCGTTTCTGGATACAGGTAAAAGATGCTTTGCGATGAAGATAATATATGCACATTGAAAGCATACACCGATAGCTGTCGTTTACAATAAGTATTGTTTGTTTGTATGTTGGGAGTTTTTTGTAGTCTTATAAACATAATTTTCATCACAATCATTACTATTATTGTCCATTTTCGTATAAACAAGCAAAACTTAATGCACAATCTACCGCGTCGTAAAATTTCCGAAAGGAAGCTTATCTGACTGCTGTCACTTGTATGGCAAAAAAGTTAAGATGGCCGACTATGAGCGCGTTCTCTGTTACAACCGCTGCGATCAGCCTGTTCTAGCGTGGTTTGATAGATAATGGACACCTTTTTACTTGGTATGAAATGTAATGAGCGCGTTTTATTCTAAAGTAAGTTTTTTTCAATGGACTTTACGCAAAATCAGCCCCTATTATCAAGTTTAAAATAACGTGCTCTGATTGGCCATAGAAAAAACGAAGTAAATGGTGCAGTTAATTCGAAAAGTTAAAATTGTCAATGAGCCTCTTTTTTTCCTGTCCCTTCATATCTAATTTAAAAAAAGAATTCCATGTTTTTAAAATAAAATTAATTTGAAATTGCAATTCTTAGCTAAACAATTATTTTTTGATTTGAAATGGTCAGTAGTGCAGAACGGCATTTTCATAGGTAAAAACCTGTTATCTCTCATATACATATTATGTATTTAGTATCTTGGTGTATAAGACATTACGTTCACAATTATTTGCTAGTCATTATTAAACAGCGTATGAACTTAGCGTTTCGTTTCGAGGACGAAGGTTAACTAAAGATGGTTGTACTCTTATATCAAAAAGTTCCGTATTACACTTTACAAACATACACGATTCTAGTATATAAATACAGGGTAATGTTAATGTCTTAAGAGATCTAAATTATGGTATGCAACTTTCTGTAGGCTTTATCCTACATATAGCTCGAATACACTGTTTTTGAGCTTTTATAATTAATTCCCTGTACGTTGATAGTCCCCAATATATGATACCATATCGCAGAGTCAAAGCCACAAAGCCATGGTATGCTGTTAGAACAGTTTTTTGGTCAGCTATTTTCGACCGTTTATATAGTGCAAATGAAAATGTATACATTCTATTGCAGACTTCTATTGAATGCGATTCCCATGACATGTTGCTATTTATAAACAGCTCTAGGAATTTCGCTATTTTTGTTTCAGAAATTGTTTTATTTCCATAACTTATCATTAGATTTGGAGTATTTTTTCTTTGTGTAAATTGCATAATTTTTATTTTTTCAAGATTAACTTTAAGATTATTTGATTTTAACCATTTAATAATGTTTTCAATAGCAAAGTTAATATTATTTTGATAGTCTGCTACAATGTCACACTGTACAAAAATTGTGCTATCGTCTGCAAATAGTAAAATTGGGTATTTACAAGACTCGACGATATCATTGATGTATATTATAAAGAGCAAAGGACCCAAAACACTTCCCTGTGGAACGCCACGCTTTATCGTTCTATTATTAGACGTATATATTTTTCCTTGTCCTTGTAGAGATACAGATTTGACTGATTACTGATGAAAGGGGGAGAGGTTTGGCGTATCGGGCTAGGATGCATCGTCTTTTTGCTGAGCTGGAGCCATCTTTAACCGTCACAGAGCAAACCTGGCAGACCGAGTTCAGTATATCTTGCGCTGAAATATATTTGATGTCGCCAAACTTGAACGGCTATGACGTGAGGCTGTTCCCTCATCGGATCAAAATGCTACGGCTGAGGATGCGGCGCCATAAATTGCAGAGCAACCCGCAAACTTGGATGCCACCGTGAATACCCCAGTTGTGGTTGATTCAAACGATGATGGAACAGTCATAACCCTAAACAAGCGAAATCGGGCTGTCGTGAGGGCTCTGAACCCAATGCTGGTGACCTATTTGGAACCCAGCCGAAAACTTTGCGAGACGAACTCAATTATTTTTGGCGCCGCACTGGCAGTATGCCGTATTATAGGCACCATACTTACCACGGCTGGACGCGCTACAGGACAAAGTAGCGCTATCCCAGCCTGGAGAATAAGAATTGAAGAACGTATCGCAAAGGCTAGGGTCCTCATTGGCAGACTGATATGCTTCAGGTCAGGCAATAACAGGCCAAGGATTGAGCGTACCGTCAGGATGGCATTTGCTGGAACAAATGTTAGTTAAACTGACGGAGCGGACTGGGAACTGGGAAAGCGGATTCGGTGATATACCGAGAGTTCGACACGGTTTAACCAGAATCGTCTCCAGAGTGATCAGAAGACGCTCTATAAATCATTGGAGCGACCAATGGTAAGTGGAACGGGCCCAGCACCGAATCAGGCCGACACTGTCGCATTCTGGCGAGGCCTGTGGTCAGAGCCCGTAAACCACAGCGAGCGCCCTTGGACGGAAGTTGTGGCGAGTCAGTGTGCGAGTATTACGCTCATGGACCCTGTCATCATAACGCGGGATGACGTAGCTGAGGCGGTCCGAAGAGCTCTGAACTGGAAAAGTCGGGGCTCGACGGGCTGCATCACTACTTGCTGAAGGGGTTCATGGTGTGTCACGCTCTGCTCGCCCGTCGGTTTCAAGAGGCTCTCAACCAAAATTCGCACCCTAGCCTCTTCACTACTGGGATCACTTATTTGGTTCCTAAAGACCTGGTTACCACATATCCGAGAAAATACCTCCCCATCACGTGTCTACCGACAAGACACTAAAATCCATTTTGAGTGCGAGAATCACTCGTCACCTAAACTTAAATTCGCGTGCTCAAAATGGATGTCGGAGCGGTGGTCGTGGAACAAAGGAACCACTCCTCATTGACGCGGTCATTGGCAAAGTGGTGAAACGCAACCGTCGGAACTTCTTCACCACCTGGACAGACTACAGAAAGACATTCGACTTCGTTCCCCATACATGGCTAAAGAGGGTCCTCAAGCTGTACAAGATTGAATGTGAATACAGTTAGATACTTCCTCGAGCAATGTATGGGGCAGTGGAGTACAATCCTTTGTCATCTTGGTGAGCGGATGACGGATGCAGAAAGCCGCATAAGTGTAAGAAGGGGTATCTTCCAGGGCGATTGTCTGAGTCCAATCTGGTTCTGCTTCTCTTTGAAACCTCTCATTACATTACTAGAGGGCTCCGGGATGGGATTTCAGCTTCGGAAAGGAGGTACAAAAGTGACCCACCTTTTCTATATGGATGACCTCAAATCATTCGCCTTCAGTCGCTCCCATCTCATGGAATTGCTAAAATATCACTTGTGAATTTAGCAGTTCTATTGGAATAGAGCTGGGAACGGATAAGTGTGCGGTTCTCCGTGTTGAAAGGGGAAGGGTTGCTAACTCTGAGGGCATAGACTTATCTACGCCCGTCAACTTAAGGACCCTTTCCGAGACTGAAACATACCGATACCTGGGTATGTCACAGTACATCGGTATCGATGAGGCTGGTATGAAACAGTCAGTTTGCGACGTGTTTTATGCACGCTTGATCAAAGTGCTAATAGCCTTTTATCCAGTGTGAATAAGGCACGAGCATATAACGGTTGGGTCATGCCTGTACTCATGTATACCCTTGGCATACTTAGGTGAACTCAGACTGAACTTAACGCCCTGGATAGAAAAGTCCGCACTCTTCGATTATGAGGCTGTACTTACCGCAGAAATATGGTGGGCGTGGTTTGTTAAGCGCGCTTACCATGCATAATCGCGAAGTGTGCAGCCTCCGTAATTACTTTCTGACGAGATCGGATAATCCATTCTATAAGGACGTCATTTGTTGTGATAAAAGGCTTACCTCTCTATACTTGGTCAACGAGCAATGGGAAGAACCGGCAGTACAGAGTATTTCCGACCGGGAGACTGTATGGAAGGAGTAGAAGCTCCACGGGAGGTTCTACAAGGCTCTACATGAATCTTTCGTAGACACAGTCGCCTCCCTCAATTGGCTGCGTTTCGGTGACCTCTTTGGGAAAATTGAGGGTTTTGTCTGTGCGATACAGGATCAGGTTATTAAAACCAACAACTATCGAAGATACATCCTAAAGGATGGCACCGTCGAAATCTGTCGAGCTTGTCGCTATCCCGGTGAGTCACTTAGGCATGTTATTTCCGGTTGTTCGGCGCTTTCTAACTCTGAATACTTGCACAGGCACAACCTAGTAGCCAGAATTCTACATCAGGAGCTCGCTCTGAAATAAGATCTCGTGGACCGGAATCTGCCGTATTACAAGTACTTGCCGGAAGCCGTGCTCGAAAATGACCACGCCAGGCTCTACTGGGACCGGGCCATCATCACAGACAGGGCTATTCTTGCGAATAAGCCTGATATTTTGCTGATGAACCGGGCACAGTCAAGGACATTTTTGGTCAACATCACCATTCCGTATAACGAGAACCTCGTGAAAGCCGAAACAGATAAGAGAACAAAATATCGGGACCTGGCTCACGAGGTGACTGACATGTGGGGTGGGCTGTCGAACGAAATCCTGTAGTCGTTAGAAGAATTTCTTTCTTAATCATAAAAGCGAATCTATAAAAATGGTAAATTATATATATATGTGTGTGTGTGTGTGTGTGTATGTTACGGTTAAACTTAAAAGACATTTCCTTGCCCTTAAATCTTCTCAGAGAATGAGAACATACCTGGGTTGCTTTCCCGATAAACGTAGCCAGCAATCCGCAATGAAAGCTGGTATCATTTCCATGATTAATATTACAATGTTTAACAACCATTTCGACTGTGTAAATAACAATGTTGGGAAAATTATTTCATCTGAAACAGAAACAAATTAAGCATTATATAATAACCAAAGACAAACAATTAGACATAACGATATTACTTTAAATTGACGGAATATGCTGCTGCCCATTCTATCTCCATTTCCCTTTGTTAAAATTTACAACATCAACGAGATGATGATATTGGATAGTGAAATCTTTTACTTTCACATTTGTATTAATATCGTTATTAGTCGTAATCATAAATGAAATGGTTACAATAGCAATTAAAATAATTATTTAAATATTTTGCTGGTTCTGATTTTTCCTTATTTATAATAGTTATGTGTAACGTTTTTTCAGAGCAATTATTTTTGAGAACCTGTGCAGATTTTGACGTTTATAAAAGCTTCAAAAAAGTCTAAATTAAATAAAAACTTTTGACTTGACTAACGTTATAATGATTTCTTATATTTTTGCCAACCCGCTTTCCAGGCGTGGCAACTATGGCAAAATGGCAAATATGCCCCTTATGTGGCAATCAATGGGGTATGCTTATGTTCAGCAACAGATTTTAGTAAGCTGTAACGGTAACGGAAACACACTCATTAAATTTTACTAGTTTTACGGATTATATAGCGTTTAATTTTTTTTTCTTTTTAATTTCCTATATTTTGGGGGTATTCCGCTTTAACTTTGACAACGGGATGTAAAAGACCACAGTCTCCCCGTGGCCGTAGGTGAAAATCACCGGAAATGCCTGGAATTAAAAAGAAGTCAAATTAAACTTGATAAAATCCATGAAAATTGTTTTATTCAATTTAACTAACCCTGCCACTACGACGCGAACCTATCACATAGCAAACATATAAATATATTCAGGAGCATTTGTAAATAAGGTGGAAAGGGGAACGGCAGATTTAGTACCGCATACTTTTTTCGTTGTTTTGTTATAGAATTAATACCAGATATTAAGGCAACTAAGCCGTTAATTTTCATGTAAGTTTTATATATTAGAACTTGGGATTAATTAATAATATCAATAACAATATTTGAATAGTTTATAAACGTAATATAATCGCAAAATAAACGCAACTATGTTATTAGAAGTGGCAACTTCTTATGTAATATAAATGAAATATCTAAATGGTAATTCATTATATAGGAGTAGAAATAACAATATATGTAATTAAACACTTACATATTATATCAAAGAATGCATTAATTGTTGTAAAAATCATAATATTTAACGATTTAATGATAGGAATGATTTTAGTCGATAGTAGTAGTGAGTGTTGCAAAAAAAATTGTGGCCACGTTTGTCTCCAAAACCGGCCATGTTACGACTAGTCCTCTTGAGGGACAAAGAACGGTTAATGCAGAATGGTATGCTATCATTTGTTTGCCACAGGTCGTTTCTGAACTCCGTAAAAAGAACTGCAACCGCCGCATCATCCTCCATCACGACAATGCGACGTTCTCACACCGCACACAGAACAAAAGAGTTTTTAGAGCAAGAAAACATAGAATTATTAGACCATCCGCCGTACAGCCCCGACCTAAGCCCTAATAATTTCTATACTTTCCCTAAAATAAAGAGTAAATTGCGTGGACAGATATTTTCATCACCTGAAGAAGCTGTGGACGCCTACAAAACGGCTATTTTGGGGACCCCAACTTCCGAATGGAATGATTGCTTCAATGGTTGGTTCCATCGTATGGAAAAATGTGTCAAATTTCGCGAAGAATACTTCGAAAAGCAATAATTATATTTTTAAATAGTAATGTTGTGTCACTTCCTTGATTCCCGAAATTTTCAGTGCCGCCCACGTATATCCTATAGGTGTAAGTAGTTTACGAATAACATTATGCATACAAACTCTGTGATAAGTTTTACGTATTGAAAAGTAGCCATACCATATGTATATAATCTACTAGAAACTAACAAACACGGCTATTTGTATGTATATAACATACAAATTGTTATTTACATGTATTATTATTTTTTACATGTATTAGTCTGAAAGTATGACCGCTGAAAAGGAGAGGAAAGTATATTATGTTGAACAGTACTCCAAATCACTTCATTATTTCCAGATAACACCAGTTGACCATATTTTAATCCATGCTGGCAGCTAGTTACTCATTCACATTTATCTGATAACTTGCTGAGAAGAACAATTGGCCATCAAATATGTCTGTTGTATGCAGAAGATCTATACTAAGAATTAGTCGACGCAGGATTTTGATTAACGGGTCAAATGAAGAAGAACAAAGAATGGCTAATACAGTTTCAACTTGCATCCGCTCACGAGAGGTACATATACAGCACATGCACTCAGCAATGGTATAACGACATGAAATAAAGCTAGTTAGCTCTGATGTCTTAATTCTAATACTAATATTTATATTTTTTTTTCTAACTCTATTATATCTTTTCTTTTATCTCCATTATATCTTTGGGTAATGTATTTATTATATAGTTTAACTGCCATGAAATATGGTTCAGAACATAGATAAAGAAAAAAAAACAAAGACAAAAAAATCAAACTTCATGAATTACTTTTACTTGTTTCTATACTGATAATAAGTATCTTGATCACAAAAATAAAAACAAATTACATATTTAAATATCTGTATCTAAAAATGCTTGAATTTTTTGCTGTGAGTTTATAAAGGACTTCGATAGTTATAGAATAATTATTAGTTAGTTATTTTTACTGTTTTTAAATATGAACATTTTGTAAACGATTGAGTAATATTGCCTTTAGTATAATTTATCTTTTGACATTTATTTACTTTATTTTCAATTGGACATTTTTATATTACATTAATAAGTTTAATTCATCAATAATTGAAAAAAAAATGTTATATCCATCGATCACTAATAAAACACTATTAGTGATCGATGGTTATATCTATTTAGTCAAAATTTGCACGCCTCGATAAGGCAGAATGTATAGGAACTTTTGTTTTAATAACACTCTTGTAATATCTACCTACATTCTATGCAAATAAATAATCATGAATTATGAAAAGTGGTTTTAGGCAATATTAATTTCTTTCTTTTCCTTAGTTGTATATCATGGCCATTTTAAATCATATTATTATCACTATTATTACACAATCAAATCTACATATTTTCTTACTAATTTAGATGATTCAAATATGTATATTGTATACAGATGTAACTGTTAATAATCTCAGTGTTGTCATCTGCTAGAACTGCTTAGGTCCTGCAGGTCTCGGGCCGCGTGGTGTGCCCCCATTACCCGGATTATCCTCGCGGCCCACTACTATGGGCCGGTCCTGGGAGCCTTATTTACTTATTATTATAAGCGTTGTTGATCATTTTACGGATTTAGTCCGTAGTTGGTAAATTTTTCGTAGTCGGTTAAGACTAAGAAAAAAGGAGGTTGTCTTGAGGTGTCAAAGTTGGCCTATCAGCGGCATTGTGGGTTGTTACTCAACTCTCTAATCTATACAGAGAGAAGTTCTCTTGGATAGGGTCACCCGTCCGGTTGGCGAGTGTGTAGCGGCGCTAAGTTGTTTAGATGTGTCTGGCCCGTTGTCTGCGCGGTCGAACAGTCCGCGTGCCAACTGGGCATCAAAGTCCTGGATGGTTTCTACCTTTAGGTCGGCCGCTATGACGTCATTCCGGACGTAGCGACCCGCACCGACAATAGTTCTTAAAGTCAAATTCTGCTGGGCCTGCAGTCGCCGCCTCAGAGAATCGCTCAGAAGCGCGTACCAGGCCGGAGCAGCGTAGGTGATGATGGCTCTTATATACATCTTTTATATCTTCACTTTGGTCTTAAATGGCAGCTTGGATGCCAGGACTGGACGGAGCATCGCCGCGCACATCTGGCTCTGCGGACGCCGAAGTCGACGTGCGCAGTAATGCGCAGCGCCCAGTCAATCCGGCACCCAAGGTAGGTCACGGTCTTCTCGTACGCGATCTTTTGGCCATTGAGGGTTAGCGGAGATGGTAGGTTCCTGAGGCGGCCAGTGAGCAGAGCGGTCGTCTTACCAACGTTGACGACCATCCTCCACTCATCTAGCCATGGTGGCAACAGGTCCAGCAGACGTTGCATCCTGGCAGTGGCAATGTGGGCTCTTCTGGATAAGGTGAAGTAGGCGCTATCGTTGGCTTATAACGCAAATTCCACGTCGTCCTCCCACTCTTGCAGCCTTCCTGCCAGTGTAGGGATGTCGTTAGTGTAAGCCGCGTACGGGACTGGAGACAAACAGCTGCCCTGTGGAACGCCGGCTCTGATGGGTCTTGTTGCGGACTCGGCGTCCTCTACGCAGACGTAGAACTTCCTCTCTACCAGGAAAGACGCCACTAGCCGTAGCATAGCAGGAGGGACACTGGTCTGTTCTTCCAATTTATAAAGTAATCCAGAATGCCACACCCTATCGAACGCCTTCCCGATATCGAGAAAGACGCCCAACGATGTGCGGCCACGGTTGTATTCAGCCGCAAGCAGGTGCTTCACACTCAGGTCAGCAGTACTCTGGTCAGCTGTGTTGCCGTTGAGTGATCCCTCCTGAATCCGTGCTGCTCCGCCCGAAGTTTGATGCACGGATGGAGGCGACTTAGCAACAATCTTTCCAGCAGTTTAACTATGTGCGGTAGCAGCGTGATCGGCCTAGCTGGCAGCTCTACGCCTGTCCTTCCCGGGTTTCGGCAAGACAATGAGTTTGCCTTTCTTCCAGTCCTCCGGGAAGTAGGATGTCCGCAGTATCCCATTGTAGAGTTGACCAAGCTCTACTAGGACTCTATTGGGCAGCTGTCGGAGTGCAGCGTTGATAATCTCATCGTGCCCCGACGTCTTCCTTGGTTTCAGGCGGGTTACTGTCCTCCGCAGTTCAGAGGTGGAGATAAACCACTCTCCTGCAAGAGGTGGCACGGGCGACGACAGGAACTCCTGTACGCGACTCTCCTTCCGGGCATGAAGCTCCATGAACTCCGCACTTGATGGATTCGTTATAAGTTGCTCCTCGAAGTGCTCTACTAGGTTATCAGCTCTACCCTTGGCATCGTAACGACGT